CATCATTTGAGGTGAAATTTTTTTTTTGTTGGGGGGCGGATGAATTATTTTCCCTCGTCTTTAGCCTCCTCTAATTTTACATTAATGGAGTGGAATTAGAGAGACAAAATAAGAGCGATGAATCATTTTTTCTAAATGATAATAAGTAATCATAAAAATCAAACCAAATAAAGTGACTACTGAGACTCATGTGATGTTGGGTCTAGTTTGTTACCCTGCATAGGAGAAATGGTTGACCCTAAGGCACCGGCAGGTAATATCTTAATAATATTGTAATTGGTTAAAAAGAGTAGTACTCATTAATTTTAATCAAAATGTAAGTAAAAGAAAAGAGCAAACGGACACAAACAAAATCTAAACTGTACATTCCATTATTATTAGTAGTTAAGCTAAACCCGCAAAAAAGAACATTCGAAAGTAAGGTTATTTTTTATTTTTATTTTCGTCACAAATTTTTTTTTTTTTTACTCTATTTCATTGTTTTCTGAGCTTGTGCTTCTTTGCTTTTTTGAAACATATGCATTCTCTTCCTTCTAATAAGTGGGTTGCATGTCTAGAATCTCGCATGCATGATCAATTTTTTCAGGCCACTTTTACTCATGATATAATTGGGCCAAAGGAGATTCACCTCTTTTTTTATCTCTCTCTTCTTCTTCTTCTTCTTTTCTTATTTATTTTTTATTTATTTTTTTTAATTATTAGCAAAGCACGAAATGATTTTTAAATTTTAAGGTAATTTATAAATACAGCTCTTAAAATTTAGGCCAAGTTTGGGAAGTGTAAAAAAAAGCAAAAAAGTTAAAAAGTTACTCAAAAAATTAAAAAGTTAATACTATTCACCAAAAGTCAACAATTACAGCTGCACAATTCTCAATCCTAATTTTCCTCTACAAACCAATTTTTACAATTTTTTATTACACATTTTTTCATAAAAAGTCAAAAAGTTTACTCAAACATCCATACTTTTTCCCTCAACTTTTTAGTCCAGAAAGACAAAAAGTGCACTTATTTAGGACACCCCAAACAACCCTCTAACCCAAACATCCATGTTAAAAACATTAATTTATTCTTTACATTTAAAAAATTACATCACATTTTGAGATTTCTAATCATATAACAAATGACTATCTCTGTTTATCAACTATTAAGTCAGATTAACAGAATATATGATGTAAGTAACAATTTTTTTTTTTAAATACTTATATCAATATTTATGAAGTTAAAAACTTTATTTTTGGCCTCGTTTGGAAGTAGGCTATTTTAGTTGGCCATTTGATTTTTTGATTATTTTAGCCTAGCTAAAAAGTTTTGTTTGAGATAATTGGAGTTTTTTTTTTTTTTTTTTTTATAGTTGATTTGATGGTTGTTAGACACACTACAACAAATTGCAGCTGCATGTTCTAAATTGGCGACTAAATTTTTTAGTCGCCAAAAGGAAAGGTATTCGCAACAAACAAAAATTTTAGTTGCTGAAAGGCTAAATTGGCGAATAATTTTTTAGTCATCAAAAGCTTACAATTAAATTTAAAATCACATCTTCAGCTATTAAATTTTTGTCGCCAAAACTTAAATTATATAGGGCAACAAAAGTTTTAGTCGCGAATTTTCTTTTTATGTTCATCTTACTTTTTTTGCTACTAAATGTTTAGTTGCCTAAAATCTATTTTTTTGTTTAGTTACTAAAGTTTTAGTCGCCTATCATATAATTTTTTTGTTTTGGCTACTAAATATTTAGTCATCAAAAGTGTTTTTCCTTTTTTTATTTTTATTTTTCTTGACTACTAAATCATTAGTCGCCAAAAGTCTTTTTTAATGGATACTAAATATTTAGTCGCCCGAAAATTTGTTTCCATTTAATTCTTTTTTTAGCTATTAACTATTTAGTGACTAAAAATATTTAACACCCAATTGTTTAGTCGCCAAAAACATCATTTTGTATTTTTTATTTTATTTTAATTAAAAAAGGAAAATTCATGTAATGTTTTACTTTATATTTTTTATTGGTTAAAACCGTGAAAATTAGCATTTTTGTGTTACCTTAAGAGAGAATATGACAAGCGTTATGCAATAAATTATTTTTTTATTAGTAAAAAAAATATTCATTGATGAAAATCAAAGAATATAGGGAATGATGAACATTAATAAAAAATATGAGTATAGAAACCATTAAAACAACACTAAACGATTCAAATTAGATTGGCACCGAAAAATAAGTTTAATTATTTGTTAGCATATCACATGTAATAATTAATGTGACGTATAACTTCAATACCATCCCATAATCTTTCAAAAAATGAGGTGTAATATTTCTTTTTGACATGTTATCTGTTTGACATTTTTGTCAAAGGGAGAAACTTTTCTCTAGTTGGGAAAATCAATTGGAGTATTGTTGGGCTTTCGTGGGGTTATCACGAAATTCACATCGATGATTTAAATCGTTCAATGTGTAGGGTTTGTTGAGTGCTTTAACCATGCAAAATATCACGTTGATTGGATATCGATAGTCACTTTATCAAATCCCAATTGTGTTAATAATTTATTTTCAAAATCATACTTACCATTAACACAAATGTGTTAATAATTAAATTTGATACGATTATCGAATCAATCTAATTTTTTGTATGAATGAAATACACAAAGTATCTGACAAATGAGCGATTCCGATCATCAAAGCAGCGTCCATGTTGAACTCCACAGATCCAAACAGCATCTTTCAATCCAAATTTTGGACTGGGGGGGATCTGCCTCCATGAAGAAATGTCTCCAAATTTTTAATGATGCCCCGAAATATGGAACAATATTACGGTGGATGGTCATATCTAGGGCTCGTCAATGGGATGGATTGAGTTTACTCATTTTGTAAATTTTGATCAGTCAGTTGACTGGTACGGGTCGAATTTATTTTAAAAATTAAAACCACATCCATCCATAAATTCAAATTTGACAAGCCAAAATCAAATCGAACCGGACTGCACATTTTTCATTCAACTTATTTTTAATATTTTGATTAGTTATTTTTATTTTTTACTTTTCAACATAATTACAGTATTTTTATTTTTATTTTATTTTTTTACCTTTTTACATACGAACGTAACTTTTGAGATTTATTTAAATTATAAATTATTTTTTGTAATTTTAAAAATTATATTATGCTTTTTAAAATTTTAATTTCATTATATTGTTAAGTTCTACACATAAATTTTTAATATTTTGATTAATTATTTTTATTTTTTACTTTTTAACATAATTACAACATTTTCATTTTTATTTTATTTTTTACCTTTTACATCTCATATAAACAAAAACGAATAGGAAAATGCTCCGTAATTCGAGAAAGTGAGGCTCGAATGGCCTGAATGATACGGAAAATATTATCTTATCGATAAAAAAATCAAAAGACATCTTAAAACGACGTTGTTTTGAAATTTCAAACCACTCGAACCACGAAAAATTTGAACTACGAATCGGAACCGAAATAATAATCAAGGCGCAATGCTTGTCACATCATACACAAATAGCTATTACATCTCATACAAACAAAAACAATAATGCTTGAGACCACTAAAAGTGGTGCTCTAAAAGCACCACTAGTGATGTGGCAGTGAACGGGACCCACTGTTTGTGTCTTGTATTTTTTTTTTTTTTAGATTAAAGTGCTTACTAACTCATTAGTGGTGCTTTAAAGTACTACTTTTAGTGGGATGTATCATTACCCTACACAAAACACATCTCATAACATCATAACCTCACTTGGAGAATGAAAATGGTTTCAAAAGTTGACGTGGCACTTGCTTGTCACAATTAAGTTTTTTTTGCCAATATTTTTAAGAGTAAATTATAAATATTTTTGAGATTTATTTAAATTATAAATTATTTTTTATAATTTTAAAAATGACATTATGTTTCTTAAAGTTTTTAATTTTATAATAAATAGGTCTTTTTATTAATAAATCATTAAGTTAATTAATAATTTTTAATAATATTAAAATTTTATTTCAATTAATAATTCATATAATTTTATTATTATATAGGTAAACAATTAGAAATTTTACTTTTTTAATTAATTTTGTTAAATAAAAAATTCTGATAGAGAAGTATTTGTAATTTTTCAAATCACAAGGCTAATTCGTATTTTAAGCAAATCTCAAGAAGTGAATTTGTAATATACCCAAAAAATAAAATGAAATGGTTGGTATATATAGAAGAAGAACACTACTAGAAAGTGGCTTTTTTGCGACTGATTATTTGACCGTCGCAAAAACTAATATTTGCAATAACATCCTCGGTAATTTTTTCTTTTATTTATTTTGCCCGTGCCCTTTTCTTATGCCTATGCCCTAACAGAGACTAATTTCCCCCTAAGCTCTCATTTCTCCCAAATCTAATTTTGCTCGATTGTGTTTGAGTTAGAGAATCTGATTTCGCTTGATCGTGTCTCAATTTCGCTCTATAGATTACCATGGTCGTCTGAAGAAGAGACCTCCAACGGTATGAACACACATACACACACTCTCTCTCTCTCTCTCTCTCTCGTCTCAGTAAGTCTCTTCGAATCATTCATTTGTATTTCAACTTCTTCATTTCTCTACTTTGATCATTTGTTTCTTATCATATGAACTCACTGTAGTCACAACCATAGATCACTTCATTTCTCTACAGGTACAGGCTGAACCATTCAATTCTTAATTGTGTATTTTCTATGCTGCGAAAATGATGAACTTACTCTGAACTTGCTTGATTTCAATTCTGAATTCGAATTATTATTATTATTTTCTATCATGTTAGATTAGAGCATGTATGTGGATTTTAGCTTGTCGTATTTTGGTGAATTTTAGATATGCTTTGTAGAAGACTATAGAATTTGATCTAAGCATTGATTTTTCTATGCTATGAAAATGAAGAATGTGTATTTTCTAAATCCAATTTTTTCATCTCTTATGTAATTTGTGAAAGACCAGCTTTTACTGATAGAAAACCAGGAAGTAGAGAAGAATAAGAAAGATAGAAAAATGAATAACTAGATTTTATTATTAATTTCTTGAGAGAGAAAACAATATACAACTCAAGTTTTATATATTCTGAGCCTCAACTAAACAAAACCAAAACAGACTTATCTTTCTAATGCCAGCTGTCACGAACTAATTACAACCAACTAATAGCAAATCAGTTATGAGCTAACAATTTGCTTGACAATAGATTCAGACCTTATAACGTTCGATAAATAACGAAATTGAATAGATTATATAGCAAATAACTAGTTTATCTAGCAAATTTCTTGAATAGATTATATAGCAAAATTGAAACATGATTTTTTTGTTTTGTAGGAAAAAAAATAATAAAAAACAAAGAATTGATGAATATGTTTCCAAAACAAATTAAAACATAAACAAGAACATGTGTTTGGTGAATTTTTGGAGGGACTAGAGTGGCTAGAGGGTGATGTTTGAGTGGCTGGAGGGAGGAGGAAATGGATAATTTTTTCTCAAAACAAATGAGAACACTTTTTTTTCTCCTACAAATTTTAAAATTTGAGAATAGTTTCCATTTTTGCGAAAACGAAACAGCTACCAAAACGAAGTTGATATTTGAGGGACTTCATTGAAGTTGAAAAGACGCCAGTTTATCAGAGGATCATGAACGAACGCCTGAAAACAGGTTGAACTAAAATTAGCTTCCATCTTATATAGTGGAATATTAGCTACTTTAAAATGATTTTATCATCAATGATGGTGCCAATTTTCATGTGAAAGGAAAAAGACATAAAAAGGAGTGTGAGTGAAATAAAAACAATTTGTTTACATTAACGATTCTATTTCCTCATAGTTATACCTTTAACAAATACGTGGGATAGTAAAAATTTACTACTTGTGTTCAAGGAATTTCCCACAGTTTGAGGGATTGAAGTTAATTTAATTGATTTGAGCCAGACTAAGCCAAAAAAAGCTTATTGAAACAGATACAGAACACACAGGAAATTTATGGTGTCTATACCTCCATCATAGCAATGACACTATCCTTTTTTTTTCTTTTTTTTTTTTGTTGCAGGAAAATCCTCCCTACTCTCCCGCAGGTCCAAGGCAGCGCCCCTTTTGTAGAGACCACCAAGGTATCCTGTTAGCTGTTCCGAGTGAGGAAGCTATAACCTGGGAACTTGCCCCGACCTCCCAAGACAAGTTCCGCTTAAGTCAGGACTCGTACAGCGGGAGAGCATTGAACCCATACCAAGTGCTGGTTAGACAACTTGAGGTCCAACCTCCTAACCAACTGTGCTACGCCCAGGAGATTGGCCCGAGGGGGATTTGAACTCATGACCTGGGGGCTTAATCCCCATGTTCTTACCACAAGGCCACCCACCCCTGGGTTAATGGCACTATCCTTATTTGTTCTGAGAACCTGCATCACATTTTCGCACATTGAACGGAAGTTGCCTTCAATACCGCTAACCTCCATAGCTTTCACAAGCAATCTAGTCAGTCAGAATAGAACCTACATTATCACTTTCATGTCAGAGGTCCTGCATAAACTAACACCATAAGAGGCCATACATGTGTAAGGTTTTGTAGGCAGTAAATCTAGAAGAGCATACTTTTTCAAGGAACTTCTCCCAGTTCATTGAAGCTTGAAAACAGTCTCCAAAATCAATGTGCAATATCTTCCCACTGAAGACAACATATCATATGAATACTTTCAAAACCTTAATCATAAATACAACTACTCGTTCTCTTCCAATCATAAAATAACTGTAACGATGCAACATTAGGTTGCTAGGGTGTCGATCACCTAAGCCAAGAAGGTAACCAACCTAAAACATTAGCCAAATATCTTAAAATACAATTTTGTAACAAAAAGAAATGAAAAAAACTTCATAGATCATATTCATTTGAAGTTGTCAGCAAAATCAAGCATGGTTAGGGCACACTTGCAAGTGACTTCAGATACATTTGTTGACATTAAGTAATTTTGAGTTTCTAGATTACGGTAAGAGACTCTGAATTTTGTTTACTCTTTACTTTTTGTTGAGTACTACATAAACACAACAAATTATTCATAATCACCTAACTAGCTAATTTAGAGTCCAAATATGCACGAAGGATCCACCTACTAAAGTAAAATAATATCATTTAGAAAAACTGAAAAAGTCAAATGTCCAAAATCGTCTCTGCTAATTGTTGGCCTAAAATATGCTATGAGGGGGACCATCTAACCAAAGAAAGAAAAGTATAATAAATTAACATACATTTACTTCGAAATATTCTCTTATCTAAACATTTCTAAAGCATAAAAGGCTGACAAATAAGATCATACATGGGAGCCATATTGTGTTGATTTTGTGAAAACATATACAGTTGGATCCTGCTAGTTTTAAGAAAAAGATCTAAATAATACGAGAAGAAAAATGATACCATGCACATGACAGCCAAGCTTCTAGTATCATTTGTCCTCTTGCCCAGCCAATTCTCAGAAGTGCTACTTCCTAACCAAAGAACCTATCAAGAGGCAATGTAACTAACTTGAGAAAAGAATTCCCAGGAGAGAGAGCCAAAGATGCAGCATATTTCTCGAAGAAAACATATCCTTGTACTGCCGCTGCTTCTTGAAGAAAACATATTTCTCTCTCTGCTCAAACACACCAAACCCTCTCATCCCCTCTCCATATAGATCTTGTACTGTCCAAGCTTCCATTCTGACAGTTTGTACTGCCGCTGCCCCGATTCAATGGCAATTTCTGGTTCCTCTATCACAGCCTTCGGAGACCACCGACACTGCCAAAGGCCTGAAGAAGAAGATTAGAAGCTCATATACGCCTCTCTCACATCGCATCGAACTCCTTCCTAGCAGTGGAGACTATAGTTGGAGCGGTGGATCTCTTAACCAATGAAGTCCCATCTTGATCATGATCTAACCCTAGGGCTTTCGATTTCTACATCTAGGAGATCTCAAATCTTAGATCTGCAATTGATCGAGGTGTAATCAATCGATTAAGAAGAGGTCGATGTTGCGGACATTGACGGTGGATCTAGATCTAGATCGACCATGTCGAAGCCATCAACAAGATTTCAGAGCCCCCGATTTCATGATAGTGGAAGCTGTCGACGAGTTCGTTTAGAGCCGATCGTGGTATAGTTGGCGCTGGTGGTCTTAAAAAGGATCACATGAAGATCTCTAAGAGGATCTGAGAGGGAAAAATATGGTCTGGATTGGGCCATGGTAATACCAAGAAAATTGTGGGCCGAACACATTTGGGCCGTGGTATCCCAGGTCCACCCAGAAGTGATTTTTGCTCGGCAATGGCAAGGGCGTGTGGAACCGAGCTACTTCACCTTGTCAGCATGGAAGCCGGTCAAGTAAGGGTTCCACGGTTTATGCGTTGCGCGGCTGGAAAGCACGCATCCATAGCTCGGCGCGAAGGCTCATGCTTGAAGCTCGGCAGGAAGGACTTTGGTTGACCAGTATGACCAATCTTAAGGTTGGCTTCGTCGGAATGCAGTCGAGCATGGCTAGAAAGGAGCTCGGTTGTTGGGGGCACTTGGGCATGAAACGCTGTATGGTCGTTGACAGCCGAGATGCTACAGCCCGGCTGCCAAGCTCCCAATATAGTGGGCTGGCAGTCGGGTTAGGTGATGTTCAGCAAGATTTGTGCTGACCGATGGGATAGCAGCACCACGTGTCGAGAGATGAATGTGGGTAGATTTGGGGTGCATAAGGTATATAAGCAAGTTTGCGCCCCCCATGCTGGACAGATGAACATTTGGTAAGAGAAACACTTACACTCAACTCTCTCCTCACTCTCTCTATCCTCAAGTGTGTGCTAACTTGATCGTCGGAGGGGTTTTTCGGCCACACACCGCCGGCTAGCTCACTGCTGTTGTGCATGCAGGTGATCGGACAGAAACGGAGCTTGGAAGAAAGGAATACGGGTTTGCCTGAATATCTGCTCCCCGTACAATTGGCACCGTCTGTGGGAATCTTTGAAGACAAAACCTTGTCTTCTAGGCTCGTTTGATCACCGTCCATGGCAAACAACGAAGAGATTCCATTGTCTGCCATCGACGGAATTACCCCGGAGTCAAGCAGACGGAGAGAAGTGCATCCCACCATCGTTCTTCCGATGGCGGACCTGGAGACTTCTCTAGGAGGACATTCAAGAGATGCGCGGGATAAGAGCAGAAGAAGTTATGGTCATTCACGGAGTTCAAACGGTCATCGGCGGCGGAGAGAATCACATGCTAGACGTCTGGAACACAAGTTAAGGGATCAAGACGCCGTCATCCGGCGAATGGTGGTGGAGATGGAGGATCTTAAGCAGCATGTCAAAGGAAAGGGTGTAGCTGGAGTGGGCGACCACAGTGAGCGCACCCAACCATGCCGTTCAAGCAGCCAGAGCCAGCGACGTACTCCGTCCATCTCAATCACCAGAAGTTACAAGGTTGAAGATTTCGACGCGCACGAAGAGAAATCCAACACGCAAGATAGTACTTACCGACCCTCACGTCCGGCGACGACGTCGAGGTATTCTTATTCTGCTCATTCAGAGGATTTGCGGGCAGTTTTGAAGGAATGGGCTCGCCGGCGGGAGGCTCAAAGGGTGCCGGCATTCCAGCGGCTATCCTATGGGGTTCATGCCAGCGAGGAGGTCGGCATGCCTCTACTCCGCCCAGCCGCGCCTCTTCTTGTAGATACAGACTTGGCGAGGCTGAGTGCCACTCCATTCTCCATAGATATAGAGACCGCACCGCTTTCGGCGGGCTTCCACTAGCCAAAGTTCACACTCTATGATGGAAAAACCGACCCGTATATGCATGTAAGTCATTTTCGACAGGTCATGGCCGGACATAGGCGGAATGACGCTCTTATGTGCTTGATCTTCCCGTCGAGTTTGGGCGAGCTGGGTTTGAAATTGTTCGAGAGGTTGCCGGAGGGGAGCATTGAAAGGTGGCAGCAGTTGGCCGAAGCCTTTGTGACGCGCTTCAAAACCAACACCAAAACACCAAAGGAAGTTGATCACCTCCCGAGTGTCAAGATGGAACCGAGCGACACATTGAAGGCATACAACTCCAGATATTGGGAGACCTTCAATAAGATCTTGGATTGCCCAGTCAACCTTGCAATCACACAATACAAGCGTGGTCTCCCGGTCGGACATAGACTGCGGGACTCGCTTACCATGCAGCAGCCGACATCCATGGGCCAACTAGCGCATCAATGAGCACATCCGAGTGGAGGATGATGCGTCAGCATCTACCGTGAAGGCAACTCCGGTAACAACAGACAAGCGGTCAGCTGGCAAAGTGCACACGGTCGGGCAGGAGTCCGGTCGATCCAGGGACCGCGCTGAGGAATCGGACCGTGGCACTAATCGCAAAAACCGGGGTAAGGGATGTCGGAATGATCGGAATGACTACCCCCGGGATAACGTAGCCGATCCAAACAGAAGATTGAAGGGAAGGACAGGCATCACCACGGTCTTTAAGATTCCAATCTATAGCATACTTAGTGAAATCCGTGACGAGGAGTATGTCTGGTCCCTGCTAAGTTAGGCGACGGACAGAAGGGCTTCAATCCGCGGTACCGTTGCACATTTCACCGGGAGCGAGGCCATCGGACAGAGGATTATTTGCCTTTGAGGCAACACTTGGAAGAGCTAGTTGCAGCCGGACACTTGGACCTTTACATTGATGGCGGCGTGAAGGCCAATCAAGCTCTGGTTAACCCGCGGGGACCGGATGACCGAGATGCACCTCCCCAAGGGGTTATTAATGTCATCCACGACATAGTGGAATCGGCGCGTGCATGCGAGCTCTGAGGAATGATCAAGAAGGCAGAACACATGAGGGAAGTTTTGTCGGTTCAGCCTACGATCAAAAGGGGGAAGACCGAAAAGAAAGACGTGATCAGTTTCTCCTCAAGAGACCTAGAGCGCATTCAGACGCCGCACAACGATACCCTAGTGGTAACACTCCGCGTCAAAGAATTTGATGTCAAACGGATCTTGATCGATCAGGGAAGCTCGATCGAGATCATGTACTACAACGCTTTCAAACAGCTCAAGCTCCGGGATACAGATTTGGCCCCGATGACTTCCCCACTCGTTGGTTTGAACTCACAACCAGAGTGACCTTTGGGAAAGATTATCCTGCCGGTCAAAGTGGGATCCGTGGTCAAACAAGTGGAGTTCTAGGTGTTACAGGTGCCATCCACTTATAATTTGATCCTTGGAAGGGGATGGCTTCACGCTATGCAAGCCGTAGCGTCGACCTATCATCAGGTGATGAGATTCCCCTCGGTTATGGGGGCAATTGAGGAGATTTGGGGCGATCAAGTCATGTCGAAGCAATGCTTCGTGGCGGTCAACGGGAGCCGAGCTGCCAAAGGCTTCATTCAAATGATTGAGGGACCGGAAGACCGGGGAGTCCTTGACGATGTGGGCACCAAGGCCGAGGACAAAGTTGTCGAGGAATTGGTGGAAGAGCGCATTGATACAGAGCATCCGGACAAGTTCTTCTTGCTCGGCTCAAGCCTTATAGCCCAAGAAAGGACCGACATGGTTGAGTTTTTGATGGCCAACATCAAAGTCTTCGCATGGTCACCTTATGACATGCCCGGTCTCGATCCGAGTTTTATATGCCATCATCTCAATGTCTTCCCCGGAGCAAAGCCGGTCATTCAGCGCACAAAGAGATCGGCGCTGCATCACGCCGAGGTAGTTGCGGAGGAAGTGAAGAACTTGCTTGAGGCGCGAGCAATTCAGGAAGTGCATTATCCTTGGTGGATTTCAAACACGGTCATGGTGCCCAAGAAGAATGGGAAGTGGCGAGTTTGCGTTGACTACAAGACCGTCAACCGAGCTTGTCCGAAAGACAGCTTCCCTTTGCCTAGAATAGACCAGCTTGTGGACTTAACGGCTGGACATAACAGGCTCAGTTTCTTGGACGCCTACAGTGGCTACCATCAGATTGCCATGCATGGGCCCGACCAAGAGATCACCTCGTTTACTACACCAAGGGGACTCTTTTGCTACCGAGTCATGCCTTTTGGTTTGAAGAACGCCGGGACAACTTTTCAACGGATGGTGACCAAGATGTTCGCTCCTCTGCTAGGCCGAACAATGGAGGTTTATATTGATGATATGGTGGTTAAGAGCCGGCATCAAGCAGACCATTTGTCCGATTTGGCCGAGATGTTCGCCATTCTCAAAAAGCACAAGCTACGCCTGAATGCGTCTAAGTGTGCCTTCGGCATGAGATCTGGAAAATTTTTGGGTTTCCTAGTCACGAACCGAGGTATCGAAGCAGACCCTACACAAATCTAAGCCGTGCAAGAGTTAAAACAACCTAGCTCGGCTAAGGATGTACAGCATCTGGCCAGAATGACCGCTGCGCTTAACCGATTTATAAGCCGGTCATTAGATCGCTGCCACCCTTTTTTTCAAGCCTTGAAATCAAAGTTCTCATGGGATGAAGAGTGTGACCGGGCTTTGGCCGAGCTCAAGGAGTATTTGTCTTTAGCGCCGTTGTTGGTCACACCGGAGCCCGGAGAAGAACTTTACTTTTATCTAGCCATATCGCAACATGCAGTCAGTGCAGTGCTTGTCCGGTCAGAAGGAATCAAACATCTACCCATCTTCTACGTCAGCAAAACCTTGCTACCGGCAGAGTCGAGGTACTTGCCACTGGAAAAACCTGCATTAACTTTGATGATGGCTTCAAAAAAGTTGGCACATTATTTCCATGCCCATACCATCATCATCTTGACCGAGTTCCCTCTCAAAGCTTTGTTCGAACGGGCAGACTTCTCCGGTCGGATTCTTAAGTGGGCGGTCAAATTGGGACAGTTTGATGTGAAGTTTCAGCCGCGCACAGTGATAAAAGCCCAGACTCTGGCCGACTTCGTTGTTGAATTCTCACCTGGAACTCATCCAGTATGCCTGGTCGATATTGCCATGGTAGATGAAGAGGTGAATGCAAGCACGACCAAAATACCACAGCTTGGCGGCATTAGCGACGCGGAACTTGCGCTCCCCGCCGAAGCCCCTTCAATTAATACGATACTACAGCCCGGTGATGCGATGACGGAGTTGGCTATCACTGACCAACCCGCTTTGTCCGACACCACATCACCGAGGAGGGAAGAAATGAAACCGCTCAGCACAGAGCCTGTGGCTGGCATAATACCACAACCTGGAGATTCGCCTACGGACTTAGGCATTATAGATCAACTTGCTGAGTCCGGCGCCGAATCACCAAGGGGGCTGAAGTGGAACCGCTCAGCACAGGACCGGAAGCCAAACAGCCGAGCAACCGCAATCCCATCAACCTTCAAGCTTCTCAGGACCCCTCAGAGTATTGGAAGCTCTTTGTCGGCGAAATGTGAAAAATTTTTGTTGATGGAGCCTCGAACCGTCACGGTGCTGGACTGGGTATAGTTCTGATTTCGCCAGACGGACTGACTATAGAACATTCTATCACCCTTGGCTTCCCAGCATCCAACAATGAGACCGAGTACGAGGCGCTATTGGCCGATCCCAAAAACGCGCTTCAGATGCAAGCATCCGAACTAATGGTTTACAGTGATTCCCAGCTTGTGGTTAATCAAGTTTCTGGGGTTTACGAGGCAAAGGATGACAGAATGATGAAGTACCAAGCTTTGGTCAGAGACCACATCAAGCGATTTCAGGCGATCAGGGTCCAACAGATTGGCCGAGAAGAAAACGGCCGAGCAGATGAGTTGGCCGGCCTTGCTTCTATGGTCGACAGCACATCTCCCAACCCTCTCTTGATTGAATTCCTTCCGAGGCCCAGCATTGAGGAAACTGGGCAGACAGAAGTAC